TAATTTTAATGACGTACACTGAAAGAAATACCTAGTTAATTCAACTAGCGTGCCTAGTAATCATTCTGTTTACTGGCTTAGTGAGTAGTAGGTGTCACGTGATGCGGGGGTCGTATACATGAAGATACATACTAACCTAGTGAAAGTTACTTAATATAAACTCTAGATTTACTAATGTAAATCTACTCAATACCAACTAAAACTACTTTTAAGCTAGTGGTTGTATGGACAGTAAGTTTACTAGTCTTCTTAGTGATTTCACTAGTTATTTTTTCAATGTGACCTTGAAAGTACGCGACCGTAATGCGGAAAGAAAGGAAAAGCGTGAAATGTATTCATATAAATTTTGCAGGGCAGCCGAAAGCGATATTCTTGCAGGCGATCAAGATCTTGTTAATCAAGATCTTGAAAAATAAGCTGTCTACTCCGTTCAACAACAAATTTTTTAAATTGTTTGGGTGGATGGCGACAGTGCAATTGTTGATTTAGATCAGGGAGAGAACAGAGAAATTATACTCTGCTCATTAGTACAATTCTCAGTTAACCTTGGACTTTCAGTAAGGAGCTCGAGCGCCGAGAATGCCACGCCTGACTGAAAGTCCAAGGTAAACTGAGAATTGTACTAATTAAAGAAATTTAATGAGAATGGAAGTACTTGTAGATGAATCTCAATCTATTGTTGGTGATAAAGTTGTTGATGATATCTGTGAAATGACACCTGATACAAATACTGAATGACGACCAGAGAGTGATACTAGTTCTACACCTGTCTAAAGATGCAGGCATTGAAAATATTGATCTACATATAAATGTCAGTCACAGATCTGTTAGAAATAGGAAACTTCCATCAAGTTTGAAGGATTTTAGTCTGTTTTAGTCCTTTTCTCACACTTTTTACATGTGAACTGGATCATGTACTTGTGTATATCCTCTCTGATACTATTAACTTAGTTTGCATTGTATGTCCTATAAGTTCATGCCTCCACAACACAATACTTGTCATGTTTTGGTCTTTGATACAAAGTAATATGCCTTAAATGTGAAATCAAGACACTAGTTTTGAGATTTAAAATCGCTTTTGAGCAAAAACGGAAGGGATGCATTGTTTGTGCAATTGCTTAAATTTAATGTTAGAAAGATAAATCGCTCTGTGTCTAATTTTATGTCGAGTTATCACACTTGTTTCGTTTGAATAATTTCATTTGCATAGATATGTTTTTTAATGACGATCGACTGCACATTAACGTTGAATCTGATTAAATCTGTACATATGCTTCCGGTGTGAATGCCACATATTTAATTTGATTTGTGAGTAAATTTCTATAAATATTCTTGCTAAATAAGAGAGAGAGAGAGAGAAAGAGAGAGAGAGAGAAAGCATATACAAAAGAAGAGTTGCTTCGCCTAATACATTTCTACTGCTTTAATTAGTATAGAAAACGAATCATTTATTAGTTCATAGTTAAAATACAAGAATTATAGTATTTCAGTTGTATTTTTTTAGCATTAACTGTATATTCTACAATTTGTAACATAGTATATATTTTTAATTTACATGTTAATTTCATATTTATCGATTTGTATTGTATACACCAGGTATATTTTTAAGTTACTTCTATTCTATTTGTATTGCCAGTATTCATATTGCTTAAGAGACTCCGACCCTCAGCCAGGAAGGACAACTCTTTAATTTATCATTTAATTCAAAAAGTCTTTCAATGAAGCTTGAAAATTAAATATTTTCATGCAAGAATCTTCATTATTTGCCTCTCAATGTGCTTCAAGGTTCTTTGTAAAGCTCCATAAATTACTTCTAATTTCATATCATGTTAATAAACATTGGTATCTAAAAATGCTTTTTCGATGGATAAAAATTTACTACTTGTAATTAAAAAAGCTTTCTGAGAAGTTTAAAGAACCTTGAAGCACATTGAGAGGCATATAATGAAAAATTGTTGCATGAAAAGATTTAATTTTACACGGGGGTTAAAAAAAGATTCATTGAAAGACTTTTTGAATTAAATTATAAATTAAAATATTTTCTTTTAATCTCAACGGCTATTTTGTATTTTAGGCGATATGTCGTCCAAGATATCTGCTCTGTAAATTTATATTAAAATGGTATTTTCATATGGAATTGAAAAAAGGAAAAGATATGTGAGCCAATGCTCACTAGAAAAATTCCTATATCCGATGTTTTCTAAAGTGAATATACACTATCACGTTTATATACACAAGTTAAGTTACGGACAGACATACGGAGAACATCCGATTTGAACAAAAATTAATCCCATCATATGGCATGCCTCAGCAAACATTGTACTTAAATTTCAAGCATCTGTAATGAGTAGTTGCTGAGAAAACTGTGACGAAAATTTGTTACGTATGGTACGGACAGACATACGGATAAGAAGAAGTCAACACCCGATTTGTACGAAAATGAATACATGTACCAGCATATTAGTAAATATCTCAGTAAAGAATATGCTAAAATTTCAATCAACTGCTATGAGTAGTTGGTAAAAAAAATGACGATTTTTTTTATGTTTGGTACGGACAGACGCACGGATAAACAAGAGGTTGACATCGGATTTAAACAAAAATGAATCCCAACATATGGCACGCCTTAGCAAAGAATGTGCTAAAATTTCAAGCAACTGCGATGAGTAGTTAATTGCTGAGAAAACTGCGTCGAAAAATTTTTTACGGACAGACACATGGATGGACAGCTCGACAGAAGGGAAGACAGACACACAAGGGTAAAACAGTACACCCCCTCTTCTTCGGAGCGGGAGTATAACTTTCATTTTCATGAAGAATGTACACACATAACTAGCATAAATAACCAAAGGTAAATGTTTTTGTTGATTTAATAAGTTGGTTGTCGTCGTCGTTGATGTCGTCGTAAACATTTCACATTTTCATTTTCTTCTCAAAAACCACTTGGTGAAGAGAATTCAAGTTCAAATAAAGGGCCATGCCGTCTCCCAAGGGGAGATAATTATGAATTAGTAAATAATTAATGGCATCATTTAAAAATTCTTCTTCTCAAGAACTACTGGGCCAGGAAACTCATGTGGAAGCATCCTCAGGTAGTGTAGATTCAAGTTGTTCAAATCATGACCCCCGGGGGTAGGGTGTAAAACTTTTATCGCCCTTTGTGACTTCATCATAAACACAGGGGTCGTGATTTGAACAAAGAAGAAGGTACAGTTTCAATACAAATAAAGCCCTATTTTTCTAAAATATGAAAGTGATTTAAGAAATTAAAATTCATTCTTTCTGAATCATATGAATTCTTTGCAGTAAGAATACACAAATGATTTTTCTCATATGACCTCGTAAATGCTAACTGTGACGTCATTAACTTGTGCATTTTCCCGTATTTTCTTAAAAAGTTGCAGAAGACATCAATTTTCAGTGGAACTTTCTTTCAGAAAACATACTCTGCCACCGTCGCCCGGAAAGATTTTGAGATATATGATTTTTCATGGCTGTTTGCACAATATATCCAAAATTTAAAGCGGGTGACGGTGGCAGACGCTATTTTCTAAAGGACAATTAGCAGTAAACTGCTAATTGTGCCACACCCTACCCGTAGGACAATGATTTGGACAAAACTGATTCTACACTACCTGCAGAGAATGCTTTCGTATAAATATACCCAATCATGGCTTTGCGATTCTTCAGAATCAATATTTTAAAAGATTTTTCCTATGTATTCATACTTTTATACACTTTTTTTTTTTTTTTTTTTTACAATTTCATACTAAACGATGGGCCATAATATACACACTGAATAGTCAACAGATTTTCCCCAATCATGACAAAGAACACAGTTACGGTGGGTGTGTCCAGTCAGCAGGGGATGCTCACTCCTTTAAAGCACCTGATCCCACCTCTAATGTTTTAGATGTCTGTGTTTGTCTACTCCTGATTTACTTTGTTTGAATGGACTTATGAGCTTGATTGCTGTTTGTTATCTCCATATTTTAATTAAGGTACATAAACCCTCTGCTCACTTTTATGAAATTTTTCTTTACTTTTATGATTTTTCAAAGCGTATGTATATGCTGAATAAAATACAAACAATTATAGCATGGCTTGCGGGGCAAGATTTGACAAAAAAGGCAATTAAACTTGACAAATTTAGAAAGGAATAATAGATATTTGTGTCATTAAGAGTTATCTCTCTTATCAGAGTATCAATGTACCTTACGTTTGAATGAATAATTACAAAAACGTCAATGAATCCTGCATGAAAAAAAAGATGTATTCGTATTAAATGTTTGACCATAAATGTATCGCATTCTAAATTATATAAAATGTTTTAACTTTTATTACATAATATTAACTTGATATCATAAGGAAGTTGTATATACTTGAATAGTTCCTCATCACTATAAGAAAGTTTGTATGCTGTTCAAATTCATAACTTGACAAGAGTATAATTTAAATCCGTGGGCAAGTGAACAACTGTGTTTTGGTGTTGTTATTCTTCGATTTTTTTAAAAATTAAATCATGCCACAAAGTGATTTCCACTTTTTTTGGTTTACTTTTATTCCTGTGACAAAATCTATCCTGTGTACAGTAACACATGCTTATAACGAAGTGCAACGGATGGACTATTTGGCTTCTTTATACATGTAAATTTGTTATATCTGTTAAGTTTACAAAATGGTTTAAGGTTCATAAACCCTCTGCTCAATCATATAAAATGTTTGAACCTTAATGATTTTCCAAAAGAAATGTCTTTTATAAGTAAAATACAAATATAGCATAGCTTGCGGGGAAAAATTGGACAAAAAAGACAACTTGGCAAATCTATAAAGAAATAATACACATTGATGATATTAAGAGTTATCTATCTTATCAGAGTATCGATGAACCTTAAAGTCACAAGGACTAAAAATCACTTGGCTGTAAGTTTCAGTTCATTATATGTGTGTTCCCCATAACATGTTTTACTGTTTCAATAATTAAAAGTAGGAACATAATGTACAGTTAATGGTGTCTTTTATTTCAGTACATTTTAGATGTATATCGAAGGCATAATAGTTATAAAGAATGAATTGGTACTGAAACATCACCCACATGAAAGCCACTAGATTTAATAATGAGTTTATGGACAGCAATTCATACAGAACTGTTGTTGCATTAAAAATTTGTACACATTCACATCAAATTGCAGTTCTGACAACAGAAGCGGAAAAAAAAATATACTATGAGATATTTGATTGTGTATTACTGTATACTGCAAATTGCTTCTTCAGTTGAATGTAGAGGAAAATTAGCAAAAAATTTTTTTGGCCTTCCGAAATTAAGCAACTAAGACTAAAAACCATTGTTTACAAGTAAGTATATATAACAAAATAACAACAACAAAAAAAATCATTCAAACAGTATCAGATCCAACTTCCATTCAGGTTGAGCATCTCGTGTCTCTATACTTTCAGCATCAGATTAGTTTGGTTTTCTCTGACATTGAATTACAATTTTAAAACATCAGTATAATTCAGTAAAAGTCAAATTTCACATCATATCTCTGCTAGCCTTGCTGTGCATACACGAATGTTATAGAAAACTAGCATGTAGTATACACTTACAAGTGCATGTGAGTAATATAATGTTATTTCCCACATGACACAATGATAAAAACCCAATAAATTACATTTACTACATTATATATACAAGATACGATCTAAAATTTAATACAGTTGTTACCTAGAATATACATGTATATTGTACAAGCAACATTTATTGTGAAGTTCTCACTGGGGCTTTACATACATTGTTTTGGCCAAGATTTCTCACTTAAATTATGTATTGGTATTCCTATTATTTTGAACTGTAACTTACTTAACCTCTATTTATCAAACTAAATTCTGCCACATAAACATTCATAAAACATGCACACAACAGCATTACATATTAATGTTATATTTTGATAACTTACAAAATTTAGAAAAAGATTTTTTTTTTCTCTCAGCATTGGTTTCACTGAAAGAGAAAAAAATTGTTCTATATATGTATATGTATGCACCATCAGAATATGTATTGTATTTGTATACAGACTATGCCTTGTATCCATATAAAAAGAATACATACCATACATTCACAGAATACATATTGCATACAAACAAATAGAATGCCTCCGTAAAAAAAAACTGTTTTTCTACCTCACACCAAGACTTACAGGCAATTCTTGGATAATAAGCTAGAAATAAATCTTGGTATGACTTACTTTGATACAGTAGAGAGCTCAAGATATGAAAATCTGATATTTATAAGAAAGCCAGGACAGTCAATTCATATTGACACATATCCCTGATATTAAGACATAAAAAAGATACCCATGTTCAACTGTAGTTACATTCATGTAAAGCATTTTCCTTTCTTTATCAATCAAATTTAAAAAAAAATACAGAAATATAATGCAAGAAATCAAAAGATGCTACTCTTCTGCTCACAGATTTGTACAGAATTAAAATTACAACACATGCAATCAAAATTATTTAAACAGATGAAAACTGTTCAAATATCATGTTAATAAAAACCATATTTAAAGCATTCTCTCCATGCAAACTCCACTTCAAGTGTGGATCAAGTTTATATGCATTATGATTCATTGACATAGTTTCTTTGAACATTATGAAATTGTACATAATAAAACTTGCACAGCTATGGTGATAAATTAATCATACTTGCAGCATAAAATATATGCATCCATTTGAGTAAAACTATATCCAACATTTGAATGACCTTGTCATTAAAGATGTCCATGACCTTGTCATTTAATTCGCAAAGATTGTGATGCACTCTCAAGGTCATTATATGGTTCCTTGCTTTTTTTAAAAATAAATGTCAAAGGCAATGGACCACGAACAATGTCTAGAGTGAAATTTGTCGAGTTTGAATGGTTATAAAATAGTACACTTCCGTTTTTTGCTCTTTTTGTTGCTAGTCTTTCCGTTAGTCTGTCGGCTTGCTTCCATCTTTCTGTCTCTTATCGCTCTCATTAAATCGTAAAATACCTGTAAAAAACAAGGAAGAAATTAAATTATCAATAATAAAACACCCATAGAAAACAAATATATCAACAAAACCACTGTGACTATTTATCAGATAAGCCAATGGTGAAAAATAATTAATTACCATTTGCATAAATTGTTACTACATGTGATCTTGCTATTATACCCAGTGATATTTATAGATTACTATTTTTGTCGTTTATGGTGTCAACCAAAACAGGAAAAGAAAAGAAATTATATTTATTTTAACTTTACATAAAAAGCAAATTATTTCTCTGAAACACATTTGAAACTGCTACTAAATAAGAAAATAAATAAAAGCCTTGCTTAAAAGCAGTGGGCTACAAGGAAAACATTGGTAAAAAATTATTTTATCATTTTCATTCATGATCAAAACAGAATCATATGGCAAAGGCACTAAATGCTTGAAATAGTTTCTGTGGATGGTATAGGTGTATATGTGTTTCAAGGAATTTTAAGAAATTCTAATATATATATATACAGTGAACCTTCAGATATCCGGATGCTTCAGTATCCAGACGATTTTTCATCGGAACGGATTTTTTTAAACGTTATTTTGTCTTGTTTAGCTGGTAACTCAGATATCCGGACGCTTCACATATCTGGACAAATTGTCTTGGAACCAAAGCGTCCGGATAAATGAGGCTCCACTGTATAGTAATTGACACAATGGTTAATGATGCTTGTAGTAAAGGTAACTGTATATACTGTGAAATCACAAATTTTCGTGGGGGGTTTAATTTTCGTTGTTTTCGAGGTATGAAGAGACCCACGAATTAATGTCTGCCACAAAATGTAAAATTTTACATACATAACTACTCAACAATTCTTTATCCACGAAATCAAATCCCCACAAATCAAGAGGTTTTCCTCAAACCACGAAAATTTGACCCCTCGAAAGTATGTGATTTTACAGTATATGTAACATATCAAATGGTCTCACAACCTTTTTCATGAAATGAATTCTGTACATATTTATTATTATTAAATAACCAAAGCAAAAACATCGATAGGAAAATATAATGAACAGATCGAGTTCAATAGCAAATGATACATGGAAAAAACATAAGACATGCTGTATTTTAAAATTACAGTATATATATTTTTCTTTATAGCAGACATGACTTTTATATAAATTAATAGGTACAGCATGGCAGCAAAAAATAGAACTAAGTGAGGAGAAGGCAGAGAATTTCCATGTGTTTTGTTTACCAAATTGATCACATGACAATCACATGACCACACAACATTTAGTGGTGCGTTCTGGGAGGGGCTCTTTGGGAGCATTAGCTGCCTTTTTTTCTTTAATGGCTCGCATTAAGTCATAAAACACCTGAAATTGGACAATTTTAATCACGGATTGAGTTGTATGGCAAAGAATTGGATTTTTAATTTATTTACAAAGATAAAATGTTAAAATTAAATTAAAATTTCAGGATATTAATTTACATGTGAAGATGTATAAATTTTCCCAAAACTTTCCCAATTTACAAGAACTAGAATAGACATACAGGTAAAATAAATAAAACAGAGTTATTTTTGTTTAATATGTATTATTTTCACTCTTGCATGTTCAAATCTGTAATTCTGCCCCATCTTTAATTTGCCAAGACACTTTTGTGCTATGGAGATAATGCTGTTTTCTTTGAATTTGCCCCATTTTAATATACCAATGGGCAGTGTTCGAAATTAGCGTCGGTCCGTCGGTCCTGCGCCGACGTACAAACGGAAGGACTCATGTATAGTATGACTAAATGGGTCCTTGAAATGATTTTGGGCCGATGATTATTTGCCAAGAAAGAAAGCCCAAATAATATGTTTCTCTCCTATAACGCGATCGACACATTCAAATTGCTACCATATCTGCATGATCTGTACCGATTTCAATCAGCTGATGCAGTTTTTATGAAGAATGTTAATAGTAGCGTTGGTTGTAATATAAATATGTCATCCTAGTCAGCCTTCATTTAAATATGAAGAGGAATGATCATTTTTATATCATCTAGCATTTCCTCCCCCAATTTGTTTAGCTTCGTTTTCTATCGTAAGACAGCCATTTCGGGTGTCTACTGTAAATATCCCACCTGGTTATTTCAGTCCTGCGATGTTTGGCCCTATGTAATTTGGTACTTAGGGAAAGTGAAAATTAATGTTTTAAATGGAAACTTTATTATGCTTCAATATGTGAGATCGTACTTTAGGCAAAAAAAAAAAAAAAAAAAAAAATACAGACAGACAGACCCTGTTTCTTGGGGAATGTTACAAGAAACAAAAAGTATGTTACAGTAATATTAACATTTTTTTTGTATAGTTAAATAACATTATTTTTTTTATATTGGAAAGGAATCGATAAACTTACCAAGATTGTCAATTTATGTTAGATTATCAAATTATTTCCCAAAATATTTGATGGTATTATTTTTGGGCCTATGCTGCCTTGGAAGGACTTGTGAAGACCCTTTATCAGTGGGTCCTTTGGACCCACAGAAAATAATTCCGAATTTCGAACACTGCCAATGGGTATGAATGTGATGAAAATAAAACAGGGCCTAAACTTACCCTGTATGTATAATATTTCTTGTACAATGTATGTCTAAAATCACAATGTGTGATGAAGTAAAATTATTTCAAATTCTCACCTCTAATAAAATTCTTTGATACCTAAATAAATTAAAATTTTTTGGGGGAGAAATGATTATGTGTAGTATAATTAGAAAAGTGTCTGGATTGTTCTTGCAGAATTGGGAAAACAAAGGACGTGGATTGGGGAGGGGGGGGGGGTCATAATAAATAAGGTGAAGATGTGTGGAATTTAATTATATTCTGTTAATAAATTCTTTCTTTGCTTCATATTATTAAGTTACTGTATGCATTATTCTTAATCTGTATAATTTTTAATTGAAATTTTGAAAACAAAACAAACTAGAACTGTCCAAACGGGACAAAATACCCCCCGCTGGGTTTTTCAGAAGTAAGTTTTTCCATAAGAAAGATATGTATCAAACATGAATCATGAAATTTTTATTCCAGTGACCTTGAAGTTCCCCAAATGACCTTGAGTCAAAGTCATGACACACCCTTGGGTCGTGGGCAATCTTTGTGTGAAATGAGATCCTACCAAGTATATCCATAAGAAAGATATTAACCGGACACGGATAATGAATTTTTTCTTCCAGTGACCTTGAAGTTCCCCAAATGACCTTAGGTCAAGGTCATGACACACCCTTGGATCATGGGCAATCTTTGTGTGAAATGAGAATCTACCAAGTTTATCCATTAAGAAAGATATGGACCAGACACGAATTATGAAATTTTTCTTCCAGTGACCTTGAACTTCCCCAAATGACCTTGGGTCAAGGTCATGACACACCCTTGGGTCATGGGCAATCTTTTTGTGAAATGAGATCCTACCAAGTTTATCCATAAGAAAGATATGGACCGGACACGAATTATGAAATTTTTCTTCCATTGACCTTGAACTTCCCCAAATGACCTTGGGTCATGGTCATGACAAACCCTTGGGTCATGGGCAATTTTTGTGTGAAATGAGATCCTACCAAGTTTATCCATAAGAAAGATATGGACCGGACACGAGTTATGAAATTTTTCTTCCAGTGACCTTGAACTTCCCCAAATGACCTTGGGTCAAGGTCATGACACACTCTTGGGTCATGGGCAATCTTTGTGTGAAATGAGAACCTACCAAGTTTATCCATAAGAAAGATATTAACCGGACACGGATAATGAATTTTTTCTTCCAGTGACCTTGAAGTTCCCCAAATGACCTTAGGTCAAGGTCATGACACACCCTTGGGTCATGGGCAATCTTTGTGTGAAATGAGAATCTACCAAGTTTATCCATAAGAAAGATATGGACCAGACATTTATGAAATTTTTCTTCCAGTGACCTTGAACTTCCCCAAATGACCTTGGGTCAAGGTCATGACACACCCTTAGGTCATGGGCAATCTTTGTGTGGAGTAGTAGATTCTAATGTCCCTCGGTAAGAAAGATATGGACCTGACACGATTGCACCGACAGACAGACAGACGGACGGACGGACACACGGACAGACAGACAGACGGACAAGGTGATTCCTATATACCCCCCCCCCCCCAAACTTCGTTTGCAGGGGGTATAACTATCAATAAACATACGTCATCCTTAATGAAATTGTTGAAGGTACTGTAGATAGGTGGGAAATCAAGCAGGTCATTTGTGTATATACATGAGTACAAGTCTGTATAATACATGTGTTTCTAAACTAAAATTGAAACACTTGTGCCTAAACATGAAAAGTCTTACTGGCATTGAAACACTTTCAAAATGACTGAATAGAAATTTATGTAGCATCTGCACTTTCCCAGAATAGTGGAATTTTATCTTCCACTTGTGTTGTAACCATCAAATTGAATCCAAATTTAGATCTATGCACCAGATTGCTTTGAACTAAAATCTTAAATTGTTTTAACCCTCTCCTTATCCTTCAAAAGGTAATGAACCTTGGTTACTTTCACATTTAAAGGCAAGTTTCTGGCAAAGAAACAAAGTTACTTTTTTTTTTTTTTTTTTTTATTTTTTTATATCTATAGATTTACCTCATTCTGTTTATAACACGTCTTTCAATTATTCACTTTATTTCTCACAAAATTAGATTATATTTAAATCACATTAAAATTTCTTGACAAAACTTTCATATTAACTGCAAAAGCTTTACTCTTGCATCTTTCAATTTATCCTAGCATTGTCATCCCTATTACCATTTATAACTATAATTCTATATATATAACATAAATTAAAAGTTACAAAACCACACTTGGAATGAAGCATATGTCTGAGAGCACATTGTGTGAATGATACAAATCTCATATTGTTCCACTTAAAGTCCACAGTAATTACACAATCCAGTGTTTATTTTTTGAGGGGTGGGGGGTATGATGCTATATGATCAGACAGCATCCTTTGGAGGAACTGTCGCTGGGGGGTTTTATGTCCTTTGACCTCCTGTCCCCCTGCCTTTGTGTTGGCAAGGTCACTCTTCGATTAATTGTCCCCACCCGCATACCCGACTTACTTTGTTTGATCATGCGTAACAGATCATAAAAACACTGTCAAAAAAAAAATAGAAAAGTGTTCTTTATATAAAATCAAGAGTGAAAATGTTCATTAGCGTTAGAAAAGTAAAGAGAATATACATACATTTTATTAACTCCTTAATAAAACGTATACATAATTTCGGCCAGTGCAAACTTAATTTACAAAGTTCAAAAAAATGAGATGTTTGTGAAAAACTTATGTCCCCCCCCCCTCCCCTTTCAAATATTTAATGGAACTTTTCTGAGTCCAAGGGGCATTACTCTGTCAAAAATTGCTTGATCATACCCAAAACAGAACTTGAACAGATATTCTCATGAAAAATCTGTATACCAAATTTCATTACAGTATGTGCAACCTCTACAAAGAAAATGAATGACTGACAGACAGACAGGCAGACCAACCGACATTGACAGTACATTGGTCATTTGAAATCATTCTTCTCTCTTCAAAAGCACACATTTAATCACATTAACATGATTAACACATCATTTGTGGTACACACAAGAAAGATAACTCTAGTCATCAATAAATGTTATAGCTTCCTCTTATCATATAAATCCATTCCATAACACTAAAACACATTCCCTGTAAGCCTTATTAAATAAGACAGCATACAAACAACGTTTTCCCAAAAGGATACCAATTATATTCAAATTTTAACATTTCACGCGTGCCCATGTGAATGCACGTGCATAATGATCATATAATCTTGTCTACACTTTCTATATATTTAAATATACTTTTTATTAAAGCATTTAGTCCAAAAGTATTAAAAATCACTCATTCAAGTGTATTTTTAATTTCACTCGTTCCAAATGCACGCACGTGCGTGCATATAAAACTTCTTGTTAGAGGCCCTTATATCTAATTAAACCATCCTGTTTGGTTGAAAACCAAAGGAATTATAGCCATTTCAAGTTTCAGCCAATCAGATTGCAGCACACGTGCATTGATTTCATAGAATTTTTTTCTAAATCATATTGTAGAATATCCTAATGCATTGTTTTAAATTTCAAAGCATTTCATCAAAAATCAAAGGAGATATAGATACAGATGCATGAAAAGGCATGTGATTTCAAGAATTTTTTTCTAAATCATATTGTAGAATATCCTAATGCATGACTATGTTTTAAATTTCAAAGCATTTCATCAAAAATCAAAGGAGATATAGCCATTTAAAGTTTCAGCCAATCAGAGAAAAATGATTTCAAGAATTTTCTTCTAAATCATATTGTAGAATATCCTAATGCATGACTATGTTTTAAATTTCAAAGCATTTCATCAAAAATCAAAGGAGATATAGCCATTTAAAGTTTCAGCCAATCAGATTGCAGCACACGTGCATGCGCGTGATTTCTTGAAATTTTTTGTATATCAAATTGCAGGATGTCCTAATGCATGACTATATTTAAATTTCAAAGCATTTCGTCAAAAAACAAAGGAGATATAGCCATTTAAAAAAAAAAATTTCATGAAATTTTTCCATTTTTTTAGGATATCCTAATTCATGGCAATTTTAAAAATTTCAAAGCATTTCGTCGGAAAACAAAAGAGATATTGAGATTTTTGTTTCAGCCAATCAGAGCAAGGCGCACGTGCATGCGCGTGAGTTCGTGCTAATTTGACAGTGTCATATTATTAACACTATTAATATATCCTTATGTAATGAGTTTCAAAGCATTTCATCAAAAAATGTAAAAGTTATAGCTATATTAAGTATATCAGTCAATTCACTCATTTCACGCGCACGCACGTGCAGGCGCATGCGCGCAAAATGACCTTCGTTCCGCACACCTACACTACACACCTATTAACCCTAAAAAGGTTTTAGCTCAGTTGGGTGAACAGTTTCTGACAGCGGACAAAAAAGTACCGGAGAACAAATAAGAAAAAAAATAATAATAATAAGAAACAGATGTAATTACCTCTAATGTAAACGGAATACCACCTCCTAGATTATTTATAAATATCCTTATCCATTTTGTTTAAAAGATGTGATACAGATGTATGAAAAGGTGCCAACAATCGTCTAAACAGAATTCATATGCCTGAATCCTTGAGTAGGAAATTTTACAAATTTACAAAAGCGAGGAAAATGTCATTCTTATGAGAAAATGCCTAACATCTGCAAAATGATGTTACAAAATCTGTTGAGTTTCGTTAAGGAGTAAAAAAATGCTTTTTTTTTTTTTTTTTTTAAAATCCCAAGAAATCATCTTTATTTAAAATGTTGCATTCTTATTCCAACAGCTGTTAACATGGTTATGCATGTATATTAACCTACTGAAAGACTAGAGACACCTGTGTAAAACATGCATTTTATCTACGTCTGACAGCACATCCGAGAATTTTCTCAACTCCCGACAACTAATTTCCAGGAAAACACAATTAAAAAAAAAAAAAAACTGAAAGCCTATGTATTAAACACCTGAATATTTTTGCAGCTTTATATAATGATAAAAAAAAATCTATGCCCTCATTGAGATATTTATCAAATGTTAAATTGGGAAAATTAACAACATTCATACACTTTAATGCCAGGATTCTTTGCAGCCATTATTTTTCTGAATTAAAACTGAATTTTTTTTTATATTTCATAATGACATATAGTCTTTTTTTCATATCTGATGTACCATGGATGTATGCATTTCAAAAACTTTTACTCTGCCTGTTCAGTGCAGTTTAACTAATTTCCACATCCATTACAAACAAATATCTAACCATTACAAACATGTTCTTTAAAAAAAAAATGGAGATAACAAGCCCCCTATCCTATGCATGGAGAAAGTCACTGTTTCTTCCTAGACTCCCACAATTAGCTTCTAATGAAATGGCTGCTACCTCATAGACTCTGTGATAAGGGGAGCATGCAATAAAAGATAACAGTCAGAGGAAGCTAATCAAGCAATGAAAAACACCTACAAGAAATCACCAACTTAAAATCTACAGATCTACAGGAAATTAATACAGGGAGTGGGAGAGCAACTGCCTTCAAAAATTTGGCATGTACTTTTATCCGGGTATACTTTTTTCAACATGTTTTCCATACTATTATCCTGGTTTTATTTCAAAATGTAAACATTTATGTTAATTTAATAAATGAAAATATCTAGGTCTAATTTTGGAACAGAACCAACAAGAATTTTAAAAACATTTATATAAATTTATAACTTCTTTTGAAGTTACAAGCATATGAATAGAATGTTATAAAAAGTCAGTATTTACTTTTAAATCTTAAAAAAATGTATGTGATAAAGAATGAATAGCAAAATAAAATCACTACGAAAAACCATCTGCTTTAATAAAAAGCAAGCACAGATTTTCAGAAAGTATACAGGCATTCAATACTCTGAAGTGAATACACTCCTATTGTACTTTGTTTGTATTAATAATCTTTAAAATCCTTCTGGTTTTCACTAGTCAAGTTCAATGAGCAGGAAATCTTCATTAATAAACACTGCAGGAGATCTAGTTTAATTTTTATCCTACAGGTCCAAAAATCAAAATACTTAATAAGGAAAAGATTTATGTTAATGCAAGTACCTCACAGCTTCCACTAGAGAGAAAAATATAAGCTCAGATTTATTTATTTATCTATGTTTATGCGTTACAATAAAAAAAATCCTTGTGATCTGTTTATTCTACTGAGAAGTTTAGAACAAAGTTGTTTAATGATAAAAAAAGTTAGCCTTGATTAATTACATATTTGGCTGCATGTGTCATCAAAATTTAAGACATTGACTAAGTATTCAGGAGACACAATTTTAAGACAATCAGTAACTAAAGAATAAAGAAGTTGAAAGTAAAATATACTCTGAAAAGGCAATTATAATTTGCTTCACATTTAGACCATCAAACTAGGTGGGGGCATCCAGGACAGGTCACAGCTGAATTGATAAATCTTGTCAGGGGACATTTACTGTTAATGGACATCTTTACACGTTAGCACTAATATCCATTGCTTGTTAAAGCCTAGGGACAGGTTTAAACTAATTCAATTATTTTCGTATAAAAAAAATATCATGCATCTATTACACTCAAGCCTTTCCTTTACTAGAATGTCTTGTTTTGAAGGCAAAAACCTAACTTAAGAAAATTTAGATATCCATTGGTTTTGACTTATGATTAATCCTTATTCTCTACAGGACAGATCAAAAATAAAATCCCTTCCATTTAAAAATTTACCCCAAATATATATATTCCTGTTTCATTTCTACTTTTCATTTTTAAAACAGCCTAGCTAGGACTAAGACTCAACAGCACACCAATCCATAGTGTTAAACCTCTATAAATCACAATGACTTCCCTGTAGCTATTCACTCAATACTTATTATTGTCCTTGCTTCAGTGTTTGCTTCCTTGATTCACTTATTTCACAAGAACTCTTACTTTCCCAATCATGACAAGGAGCACACAGCGGGTGTGACCAGTAGCTAGGGGATACTCACTCCTCCACAGCACCTGAACCCACCTCTGATGTTTAGGAGGTCCATGTTTGCTCTGATCCTATTTTGTATTGTTTAATGGACTTCTGAGCTTTCCTTACTGTTCGTTATCTCCATATATTTCATTTCGTGCAAAAAAAAATGGTAGTTCATTTCAACAGCTCAATTCTCTTTCATAATACAATATACTATATGTACAATATCTCTTTCGATGGTAAATCGGTACCGTTTCCTTACCTTATCAACATTAGCTCTAGTTTTAGCTGACGTTTCTACATAGGGTACGTTCCATTGTTTTGCCCTTTCTTGAGCTTCTTCCACACTGACATATCTCCTGTCTTCTAAATCTGCCTTGTTTCCAACTAAGAGAAAGGGTATTGTGTCGTCGTTCTTTACTCGTAAAATTTGTTCCCTGTAATGAAAACAATAATGATTTAACATTTCACATAAAGAGTAGTAAATTTTTTAAAAAATATTAAATGCATGGTAATCAATTACTCCATATAACAATAAGCTTTACTAATTTCTCTGAATGACTATGTAAACTAAGTTTTATTCACAATTCATCAGTTTGAAATCAATCTGCAACAATAAATTTCTGCAAGCGAAGAAATATTCTCTACAAATACAAAGCAAGAGAAATGGTTCGCAGCGATTAATATTCACGAGTTAAAGTACGTTGCGAAACTCATGGATATTTCTCCAAAAGTTGGTTTACAGTACATATAAATGTTATAAACAATTAACCATTCAGGATAGAACACACAAAATGACATATCTTAAGACTCTTCAATTTTGATCATAGCAATGTTGATCTGACCATGACCCTTCCTGAATGATCTTGACCTGACTCCTGGGTTTTGACCTTCACCTTGACCAAATACAGCATCATTAATTCATATATATATTTATACTTTAAAAGTCTTAACCAACAGGTCCAACATAAATTTGTTGACAAACAGACATACCAGTAACTGTAAGTTTTCAATGGCATAGAATGGTATTATGTAAAGCTCATACAAGTATGTCTTGAAGACAATTATCTACTTTTTCAAGATCAATGTACTGCAAGTACATGTACTTCATTTCATTTTCAGCATATGTAAACATATTTTTATAAATTTCAAACTGCAGTATAAGAATTCTTGTCCAATAATCATTCAAATATTTCCCAATGTTATTGTTACAAATGTTACATTACCTTCAAATTCCTTAGCATATGTATTGTGTGATGGTATTCTTTTATCAAATTAAGAAATTCATATGTGAGCATCATCAGTGAATCTTATATCTTCTCATTTCCAGTAAACAATTTACTTCTCTTTTATTTTTTGTTTGTAGAATTTCATTTCTTTGGAAAAGTCAGAAAAAGATTTCTAGCATTTTAATACATGCTCCTTGTTTTAAAAAGTTGTTCTATATAACCAGATCAGATGTTAAAACACTTGATTTTAACACTGGAAATTCCTAACAGACAATCAGTTTATTGAGCCCTGACTGCCACTGAAGCCTCTATTTAACATGTGTTAAAGAATATCATCTGATCTATCATAAAAATGGAATGTTAAGGGTTTTATCAGCTTGGAAAAATATTTAGGAATCTCGGCATATAAACAAACTGCCTATAAACAATTAAGATATACCTACAATGTATTTTCTAACTAGATTGAGATGATGGAATGAAAATTTCTATCAAACTTGAATGAGAATTGTACTACATTGTCACAAAAGGATAATGATTGTGTTGTGTGCTTTCATTAAACTAATAATCCGTGCATGTTATACATGTTTTATAAAAATTCTTCGCAATTTTGTAGTGATTTTTTAAAAACTTTTCTTTCTTTTTTAATATCATGCATGTAGCGTTCACATATCTATAAATAGAACTGGAATGGTTTATATGTGTGCTGTGTAGCACCCACTTACATCTGAACATAGGTTTGATACTATTTGGATGCATGTGCATTTCAGTACCAATAATTCAATCCATAAAAACATTACACCTTCAGAATCAGTTACTGTATTATGTACTGGGATCTTACCTATCAGAATGTTGGAAAATGTATAACTTCCCTTCCAGTGTTAATTAAGTCACTCAAAAACTTTGACCCCCCAAAGGCCATGATATAAAATACTTTGTCAAGAGGAAGTTATATAAAGTGGCATAATTTTTGTATATCAACATGATCAATATATGAACATATGTTTCCTTCATCAAGGTGACAGATGAGTTTATCTAAAAATTTTGAATTTTTTTTTTTTTTAAAGATAATACACTACAGTATGTAACTGATTTATGTATTAATCATAAAAATTATTTACATCATCACAGCATTTCTAATAGATCGGAAACCATAGCATCATTATCATGAGCATTTACAACACAGGTGTACAACATAAAATGTTTGAATTCCTGCTGAACTATTAAGAACAGCTGTAAAAATGTGTTTTCATTGCCTGATAAGTCAAACAAATGGCTATCCATTGAGTTTCGAATTTTTTAGTGACTTGAAATTGTTTTTTAAACTTTATTCTTTAGACTTTATTCTTGCAAGTTGAAGACTACATAAATGTTTGAATCATATAAAATTTCCATAGCCCACTCAAAGGAAGTTGCTCTAAATCATGTAGATGGATGCCAGTGATTTTTCTACACTCAGTTTAGGTCCGAATATCGGCCCTTTCCCCTCTCAAAAATTACTGATTTTTTCCCAATTTTGAACTGCTTTTTTCCCAAAATCAAAACGTATTGTTTTGGTTATATTGAATTTTTTATGTACGACTTATCTAAAATGGAACGCTATTGTCTTTGGTCATTCGGACGCTTAAAATAATGGCGAAAAACAGCAGTTTATTTGTGTGTTTGTAAGACTTGGAAAAACACATGGATCATGTGGATGTCAAACATTGTAAGAAATTTAATATGCATGTGAATCGGTTAAACATAGCTTTATTTGTAAATTGCAAGTACTAGTAGTTCTACAACAAGCTTCCTTGATTTCACGAAAATTAAACTGTTTCTTCATCCTGCAGATACTAGCATTGCAGAGAATACAGCAATACATCATTACATGCTAGTAAATCGTGTCAAGATTATTCCATCTCCAAGGCGAGCAATAATGAAAAATTGGGAATGATTTTTTCTCAATTATGTCTACCATTATGGCAAAAAATGAAAATAGGACAATCAAAGAACAAAAATGAAAGAAAATTAAAAATGTAGAACTGTGTTCATTTTGTTGAAAAATTTTATAGCAAATAAATGATATTACATTTACAGTAACTTATATATTTTATTTTACTTGTCAATATGAAGGTTAATTACAATTTTATTGTTTTTCCCAATTTGATGCAAGTGTCGACAATTTTTCCCAATTGAAAAGGCCCAGGCCCCTTTTAAAAATTGTAGAAAAATCACTGGATGCGACAAACTCTACAGATATCAGAGACCAATCGCAGCTAAATCTCACTGACATGATAAATCTCATAGCCAAACTTGTCCCTAAAAAATTAAATATAGCAGTATAGCAGTGGGCATTTAAAATGTGAACGGTGTCTGGGGGTTCCGTGGGCACATTTGATTGGGACCCTTGTAGAAGTAGGGGGAATGTCACAAGGGTTGTAATTTGAATGTCTCAATAGAGTGTTCAGAAGGGTATTGAATATGGCAGAATATCAACGGCAATGTTCTGCAATTACTGCAGTTGTTTTTATAGAATTTCGAAAGGGCAAAGAGACGACTTAGAGTGAAGAATTCATATTCAAACAATACTCAGGAAAGAAATGAGAAATACAAATAAATGAATGGTATGTGAAGTGAACACTGGATACTAACCTAAAATCTACTGTAGCCTGAAATGACTCCTGTTCTGTTATAGAGAAAAGACACAGAAAGCCTTCCCCACTTCTGAAATAATTGTCCCTGATTGCTGCATATTCCTCCTGACCGGCTGTGTCCAAAATGTCAATCTGCACTTCCTCTCCGTCTAACACAACTTTCTTTCTGTAGGAATCTGCCTTTGTAGGCTCATAATCTTCAACAAACTACAAAAAAGAAGACAAAATATCATGTCTGCCAAAAGAGTCAATAGTCTATTTTTTTCAATCAGATTTTTAATGGACAAGTGAAAATTGCTTTGCACTTATTCAACTGGACAAGATGATACATCTCAACTACACAATGAACTAATTTCTTGTGTTTGCTACCTTAACGGAAACAATATCAAAATTACTTAAGCTCATACATTGCTTTAAATATTGACTGAGAAAACGGAAGAATGAACACAATATCTGATACAACAAAAATACATGTTTTACTCACTTTCTCATATATTTATTGAAATACCACAATTATTTAGACTGTTGACTGGAGAATTGACTTATTTATAATCTGATGATTAACAAAATACGAGTTTTATTTACTGAATACTCACTTCATCATACATAAACTGTAGGGTCAGAGCTGATTTTCCCACACCTCCACTCCCTACCATAATGACTTTGTGTATAACCTGTGGTTGTTGTGTCTTTGCCTTCGACATCTTGATCTCTCTCTCTGAATTTTTTTATTTCTTCTAGGTTCGGTGTATATCCACCAGAACGAGTCTCTTAATAAAAAGGTGAAGAACAATTTTTTAAATGAAGCAAGATAGACAAGCAAAATGTGAATTACTACGATTGGCCAATCATATATGATACACGGAGTTTATAGATGTTGCTTTACTAGTATGAATCACATGTGAATATAATGACTCATCTTTAATAATATGATGATAATTGGTTATTTTGCGTTTTAACGCAATATCAGTTAAAAAGAATTATTGTAGCAAATGTATTTTATAATAGTGTTTTCGTTTTTTAATACGGATACTTGTCATTAATGGCAACAAACAAGCATTTCCGTGTTTTAAGTGACTCGTCACAATTTGGGTGTGACAATATAATAAAAAAAAATACACACATGGAGCAAATGGCAAAGCATATAAAAATCATACCAAACTAAATAAATACTTAATGTGAAAATTCTATTTCAAAAGATTTTAGACTTACTACTACTTATTATAGAAACATTAAATCACAATTTTTGCCGGCAAAATGATTTGTTTTGATTTTTCTTCCAGTTCCTGTCTGACCTGCCTCGACTTCTGACGTACAGGGCATGATGTTGAAGAAACTGAAAAGACTGCTCGTTACTTCTGACTTACCTTGTTTTCCTTATCACAAATAGTTGCCAGAAAAAAATATTTAAAGCCTACTTATACAAAAATGTTCAGCACTTTACAAATCCATTGAATTTTCCAAAGTGGAAATGGCGATAATTAGTGCATTGTGGGAATTTCCCACAACCATATTTAGGATTGCATTTTGTCAAAACGCAAGATATTGCCCTAGTTATTGTGTAGAACGCGCGGAGTTTCAAAACAGGGATTACAGCTTTTGGAGATAAATATTCACAATGTAAATTATTTATAAAAAAAGAAAAAAACTTCTTGATCTCACGATATAAAACATTGAACAAGAATAAATGAATGGATAAAACAAAAATACAGACATCTGTAGGATTGATTTTTTTTAAGAAACATGATATTTCTTCTCTGTTCAAAAGACCCAGATCCTTTAATGATTTTTTTTAAAGTTAAAATTTGAAGTTTTAAAGTAGATCATAATTTCATTCATATTATTATATTAACATTTGATAACCTAGAAGATAGATCAGACATCCTATAAAATAGATGCTGCCATAAAACATTGATATTAAAATAATGTCTTTATTGATCCGTCATATTTTTCAGTTTTAAAAGGAATGTAATATTTTTTCTTTGAACAAAGTATCAAAGAAGATTTGGACGAAAAACGTCATCAATGCGCGTTTATATAGCACATTGATGAAAAAGTTGAACTATAA